CCTCCAACTTTCAAACCTCCTGTCTTGGTCTCCTGAGAAGCTGGGATTACAGGCGTGCACCATAGTACCCAACCTCCTTTTTGAGACAAGATCTCAACAATGGACCACTATTAGATTGTATCACCCAGTGTTGTCACAACAGTCTTAGTTTAAGTACACTCTATAACGTATAACGTTCATGTAACAATTAAATCAATCATATTTTTCAGAATGTATCCTCCTCTCTAAGCAATGAATAACTGCTTTTGTTAGTTATTTTGAAAACTCAGAGACCTTTTTTTTGCATTACAATTCTTAATACACCTTTATACCACAATTTATCATATCTCTGATTATATATAAGGTATATTGACACCAAATTCACATCTTCATATATGTATTTTGTATAATGATGAAGGTCTCAGAGAACTTTTTATATCCAGGATTTATGCTGTTTCAAATGGCTGGGATCACTAGCACTCAATAAACAGTGGCTGAATCACTGACTCTAAATTACAAATATACTTATTAAAAAAAAAGTAATAATAATCGGGAAACTGAATCAGGAGGATCACAAATTCAGGGCCAGCCTGTGTAACTTACCGAGGCCCTCAGCAACTTAGTAAGACGATATCTCAAAATAAAATTTCAAAAAGGGCTACAGATGTAGCTCATTAGTAAAGTGCCCCTGGGTTAAATCCCCAGTACCACACACAAAAAAAGTAATAATAACTAGTTTGATCAATTATGTAACGATATTCTCAACTCACTTATCTCTGACAAATTGAAAATTACCTATATAAATGAGAAAGAAAATCTAAAAAGAAAAAAACAGATCAGACAGAAAGGGCAGGTTCAAACAAAAGACCCAAGTCCATATTTTCATGGTTTTAGAAGTTTTGAAAGATATCTACCAATAGTTTTTTTTTTTTTAAGTAGAATGACAATGGTTATCAGAATATTAACTACAGAAATTTGCACCACAGTATATATGTTTATATTAAACACTCAATGAAAATGGGTCTTTTAGCAATTATTCCTTGTAGATAACTCCAAATTGAATTTTCATATGAAATTAGTTTTTTTTAAGCACATGCACCTTTTTTAAGCACCTGCACCTCTTTTTTAAGCAACTTGATATTTCTGGCCATGTAATTATTACAATATTCTTGCACACTGATTCAAGAAGTAATCAATAAAATCATATATATATAAAATCTTTATTTTTATTTTTTTATTATTTTTTTATGTGGTGCCAGAGATCAAACCCACATAGTACCTCACACATGCTAGGCAAGGCTCTACAACTGAGCCATAACCCCAGCCCTCATATTCATGATATGTATGATGAGTATACCACTTCAATAAGTTAGAAATTTTGAAATTTTGGAAATTAGCATGGTGCCAGACTAAAGAAAACATTCACGGGAGGATAAAATCAGTAATACATTATCATTTTTATTAATTTCTTCCCGTCGCTGAGGCTTTTTAGATCTCATTACTTCTGTGAGTTAATAATAAGAAAATAAAATTGTTGTTTAAGTTTTACTCAAGAAAACTAAAACCACGTAAATACTTCTATCTTCCTTGGGTTTTCTCAGAATATTTTTACAAAGAACCTCAAATACGTTAGTGTCTGTAAAAGACTAGCAATTTTTAAGACCTACTTCCAAAAGCAGTTTACAACACAAAATTGTAAGAGTAAGGAATATATATTATTGATCTGAGGCACCCAGTAGACTACCAAAGACCCAATTACTATGCTAAACTAATGTAGATATCTTTACAATGGCCACTCCAAAGAGTGTGATCTTCAAACCCACTATAATTTCCACAATTTCCTACTTCTAAAAATATTAATAAAATGTACTTAACAAATGTTATTTAACCTAATGGCTTTAATAAGRAAAAAAATTCACAAAAGTTTCAATTAAATATCAACTTCAGTTATTTTTATTACAGGTACCATCTAGTAATTCTGGAAATAGCCTGGAGAAACATCTAAAACAATTATTTAAGAGGAAAAAACTGCCTCAAATACTCTTTCCAAATTCTGTTCAAGTTTCCCTCAAACCATTTTGCACATGCCTATTCTTGACTGTGACTTGTGTATTATGTATTACTCTTTTCTCTGCAATTTCTATAATTCAATTTCATTATCACCCAATATTCCATATCTTCTTTCTCTCTTTCCCACATCAACTCTCAATGCTTGCTTCTTTCTATTCCTCAACATTCCTACTTGATCTATTACAATAAAAAAAATGCCTAAAGAGCAGATACATTTTTAAACATAACAGATGTTGTAGATAATATTACTGATAAGTTTTGGGGGTGAAAGAACACAAAAACCAACCACAAAATGATAGCTTTTTAGCAACTTTTAATTTAAATAGATGTTTTTGTACTTCTGTTATCTACAACTCTTCAGATGAGTTCACTAATCCAGTCATAACTATTATTTTAATTAAGCTGAAAGCTTCGTAAAAAACCCCTACAGACATGCTTGAGTTACAATTTAGAATATGTAAGTAACATACCATATAAAAATAAATATATGAGCTAGTAGCAGTGGTGCCTATAATACCAGCAACTGGTGAGGTTGAGGCAGGAGGTTTTAGGCCCATCTCAGCAATTAAGTCAAAAAAAAGAAAAAAAAAAAAAAAAAAAAAAAGAGAAAGAAAACAGGACTGGGATGTAGCTCAGTGGTTAAGTGCCCATGGGTTCAACTCCCAGTACCTCCCCCAAAAAGTAAATATATAACATAAAACTTAAACATAAAAATATGAAACTCAAGTGATTTTTTTAAACCTTTGTTTTATATGGACTTTCTTTTGTGCCAAACTACCAACACACTAAAATCATTTCCACTGCAAAAATAATAGGAATATAATTAGAGATATTTTCGAATCACTACACCAGCAAAACACTTTTCTTTTGAACTTAGAAAGCATGTATACATGAGTCCTAAAAATAGACATATATAACTAGATAAAAATTTAACAGAGTAGAAAATCTGCTGATTGTTATTGTTGGGGTAGTATACATAAAACAATCCCCTCCACTTTCTCCCCTTCATTAAAAAAAAAAAAAAACTAAAGTAAATCATAAAAACATCCACAAACAGTGGGTACCTAGTGGAGCAGATATAAGAGTAAAAGACGGAACTTGGTGGCAATGGCAATATGAAACAGGGGGAGGTTCCACTCTCTGAATCTCTCTCTAGCAAGTGTGGGGACAAACAACTGTATTTATTCATTTATTTATTTATTTATTTGGATACAGGGAATGAAAGCCAGGGATGCTTTACCACTGAGACATGTCCCCAGCCCTTTTTATTTTGAAACCAGAGTCTCTCTACATTTCCCAGGCTGGCCTCGAACTTATGATCCTTCTGTTTCAGCCTCCCAAGTCTCTGAGATTACAAACTTGCAGCTTTACTTTTATAGTCTAAAAAAGACAAAAGTACCAAATTATCTGATTAGTTTAATTCCCCACTCCAAATACTACATAAAATTCAAACATTGCTAAAGGATACTAAAAACACATGCATAAGGTAGAATTATTTGTGAGGGGATATAAGAGGACTAGAGAGAAAATAATTTCAAACTCACTTATGAAAAAAATGAGCTCAAACTTTGCAAAGTTCATGAGAAATATGCTTTTAATTAAAAATTTGGCCTAAAATAATACATTTCCTTAAACATGTAACCTAAAATAACCATCCCTGAATATTAAGGGTGGCAATCTCAGAAAAGTTGTAATCAAAACCATACGGATAATTTCCAGTTAATAATCACATACATAATGATGAAAAGAATTATTTTATTCTGATTTCAAGTAGTGTCAGAAATTGTAAATGAATCTCCAAACACTGCTAAAAGTTATTGTAAATATGAAGTCTCAGAGATGAGGAAGTTATTAATGGCCATATAAATGGGAGTAAACGATACCCAGAAAGAAGAGATGGACGGAGTTCTGTTATAGGCGACTGGAGAAAGGTACTACGGCAGAAAGAGTGACAGAATGGTTAACAACAGATCTGGAATACTTCAGAAAATGGCAACAAAGCGAAAAACTGACAAGAACGTTTGAAAGTAAGATGAACGGTATCCAATGGGATCATCACGTCGTACAGCACGGCTCCAGACTTCCACTGAGTGGGACGGGGGAAGAACTATCACTGCGCGGGGAACTGCCCGGACTGAAGGGTGCAAAGGATTCTGCAGGTGGCGGAGCACACGCAGGGGGTGGGAAGGACCGTGCCGCCTCAACAGGGCCACTGTATTCCCTTCAAGATTAGGGGAAGCTGACACAGCACGTTTCCCAGCACCTAGAGGCACACGCCCGAGGCCCCTCCCTAACAACTTGCCTTGTAGAAAGAGTTGCGGGTCCCAGGCCCCCGGAACCCAAGGCTTCGCCATCCAGGACAACTGCTCTGCCAACAACGTCCCGCGAGAATCGAGAGATCTCGCGATACATACTAGCATCTCGCGAGCCTCCTCTAGAACCAACATGGCGGTAAGGAAAAAGCAGTATTTCGGAACTTAAAAAGTGCTTTTATTAACGACTGGAGAACGTGCAAAATACAGAAAAAAACAGGAAGTATTTTCCACCTTATGTGTCTCTTCCTAACCTCCTAGAAAAGAAGAACAGCAAGCCATCCCAAAACCTTCGACGATCACGGTTATACTAGAAAGTCCAACCCTATAACTCAGTCGGCTTGCCTGTCACGTGGAAGATTTTCAGCGTGTCCGTCACGTGGGCCGCCAAGGAGCGGGCGCGCGCCCGTCGCCCTCCCAAAAGCCCTCCCCGCCCCCTTTCGCCCGCGCACACGTGCGCGCGCACCCCCGCCCCACGTGGGGGCTTCGCCGTCGCCGCAGCCGCCTCCAGCCCACCCCCTCCCAGCATTTGGCTCCAAATCCGGGTCCCAGAGCCGATCATTTCAACCCCCCGGCCTCCCCCTTTCTTCTCCCTCCCCCGAGTCTGGACCCCACCACGTGCCCCGAGCACCTACTCACCTTCCGCGCGGGGCCGGGCGTGACGGGCCACTCCGGGAGGCGCCGCTACCGTGGCCGCTCTCTGCTCCCGCCACGGCACTTGCTTGACTGGCTGCCGCCGCAGGAAGCTCGACAGCGGCGCGGCGGCGCTTCCAGGTGGGTCCCCGCCTCCCGCTCCTGCCACTTCCCGCAGCACCAGCGGCTCCTTCCGGTCCCCTCCTTTCTCCTCCTGGTTGGGACCGGCAGGCGGCGGCGGCGGCGGCTGCGGCTGCAGGCGCGCTCACTGCACCGCCTGCTGGTAATCGTGGCCTGTGCAGCGCCCACGGGCAGAGGGCCGCCGAGGCCCGCCCTCTCGGCGGGCCCCCGCCCTTGGGCGAGGGTTGGTCTTCTGAGGGCAGGACCCAGTCCATCCCCTGCAGGGGTCTGTCCTGTCACTACTCAAGGAGATACCGCCTCTTTTCTCCACTGTTGAACGACTGCTTCATCCTAACCTTTGGTTTCTTTTGAGAATCTAAGCYCTAGCTCCCTTGGTAGTGTGGTATATTTTAAATACTTCTGCCTACCTCATCGCTTATGGGACAACCTCCCTAGCTCACCTCCATGGCTTTCTGGCACTCATCACAGCACGCAAGCTCCAACCTTTGCACTTGCTGTTCTCTCCAGCTAGAGCACTTCCCCTAGATTTAACTCACCGATGTTCGATGCGCATTTCAGGTACCTTTTCAGAGGTCACTGTCAGAGAGCTTCCGGAAGAGCGTTATCTCCAGGTCACTACTTATCCACTTTCTACCTTCATACAATTATCATTTCCAGACATTACTTGCAAATGTCTTCCTCACCAAGCATGTAGTATTTTTTTTACATTTTTTTTTAGTTGCCAATGGATTTTTCACTTTATTTATATGTGGTGCTGAGGATCGAACCCAGGGCCTCACACATACTAGGCAAGTGCTCTACCACTGAACCACAACCCCAGTCCGGTATTTTTAAAAGCAGAATCTAATAACTTTGGGGGAGGGGGGTACCAGAAATTGAACTCAAGGGCACTCAACCACTGAGCCACATCTCCAGTCCTATTTTGTATTTTATTTAGAGACAGGGTCTCACTGAGCTGCTTGGAGCCTCTCTGTTGCTGAGGCTTGCATTGAACTCGCATCCTCCTGCCTCAGGCTTCCCAGTCACTGAGATTTTGGGCCTGCACCATGGGGCCTGGCTTGGATTTAGTAACTTTTGTTCGTTGCTTTATTCCCAGAACCATGGCACAAAACAGGGCTCAATAAATACTCTCAAAAATTTCTAGGTAGGGGGCTGTGGGTAATAACTCAGTGGTAGAGCACTTGCATAGTATATGCAAGGCCCTGGGTTTGATTCCCAGCACTACCAAAAAAAATTAAAAAGCTATATTGCTGGGTGTGATAGTACCCTGTGATTGGGAAGGATGAGGCCAGATTGGGCAATTTAGCTATAACCTGCCTCAAAATCAAAAAGAACTGGGGATATCACTTGGTGGTAGAGTGCTTGCTTAGCAAGTTCGAGGCCCTGGATTTAATCCCAGCACTGTGCGGCAGGATGGTGCATGCCTGTAATCCTAGTGGCTCTGGAGGCTGAGACAGGAGGATCACAAGTTCAGAACCAGTCTCAGCAATTTAATGAGGCCCTAAGCAACTTAGCAAGACCCTATCTCAAAAAGGACTGAAGATGTGGCTCAGTGTTAAGTGCTCCTGGGTTCAATCCCCATATCAAAAATTATTATATATATATATAATAATTTTACATATATTTATAAATATAAATCTCCAGGCAAAACGTGGTGGTCCCACCTACTCAAGTCAAGGCCAGTCTAGGCCACTTAAAGAGAGCCTGCCTCAGAATAAAACTTAAAAGGGGAGGTGGATTGTTGGGGATGTAGATCAGTACTTGCCTTGCATATGCAGGCCCTGTGTTCAATCCCTAGCCCCACCCCCAACCCCAAAAATATCCACTGCATCTACCAACCATATTGAGCATACAAATAAGTCCAACACATAATTGCTTCCTTTATGAGCTGTGGAAAACTCAACTTCCTTCACTGTGTAATTAGAAGGCATATTCCAAAAGTATCAAACCCTGTGATAAAAGACATAAAGTGGTACTCTCTTACAGTTGTCAAGTATTGCTTTTCTTTTCCTTATCTCCAAAGCAATTTTTTCAGGCAAATGGATTTGTGTGCCTTCTTTAAACATGGCTAATAAAAGTTACTCAGTGGTTGAAATGGCTCCTGTATTTGTTTTAGGTTCCATTTCAAAACAGCATCTGCCTCAAGGGTACATTTTTATGTTGAGAAATACACTTATTTATCTATCTAACCTATCTATCACTGGATTGCCTAGGCTGGCATTGAAGTCCTGGGCTCAAGAGATTCCCCACCTCAGCCTCCTGAGTAACTGGACTACAGAGAGGCCTGCATACCAGGCTCAGGAAGCTTTCCTTAAGTCTACTTGGTGCTAGTAGCAACATGGTTTCCCTATCTTGCTCTGTGTACTTACAGAGCCAAATTCTACGTAACATGACCACAATAATTGTGGTTTTCTGAGTCTTGTGTGTCCAGCCATATACTTTATATTACATCCCTGTGGAGGCCAAGGCAAGAGGATCATAAGTTTGAGGCCAGCCTGGGCAATTTAGTGAGATTCTGTCTCAAACAGTAAAAAGCTGGGTATGTAGCTCACTGGTAAAGCACCCCTGGGTTCAGTCTCCAGTACAACAAATAATATTTCCAGAGAGACCACATCCACTAACTGGATAAAAGTCCCAACCTACTTACTGCTTATCTCAGCTTGAGACAATCCTCAAGGATCATCATATTTACAGAATTGTAGGATCAGCTGAGGTACTCCATTGTAACTTCTCCCTCTACCTAGCATGTGCAAGGTGCTAGGTTCCATCCCCAACATGACTAAATGTGTATCCATAACCACTGTTAACCTTGCTTGTGAATGCCCCATCCTAACTAAGGTATAGTCGTATATGACTGTTGTTATTTTCATCTACAATCATAGAACTCTGAAGATCTGATTCGATTTGTTTTTGGTTTTTTTGTGCTGGTGAATGAACCCAGGCTTCATGAAATATACCTCCATCCCAGAATATTGAAGAGAGAAAATACTTTAAAATCAAATAATGTAAAGGTTTGTACAATATTTTCTGAAACACTGGCACTCCTATTACAATATCAAGTCTAATACTTGAACCAAATAAAAGGGAGCCTAGAAGTGGGCAAAAAGCTCACGTTTCTCTCAGTCCCCTACTATAACATGTAAGGCACTGCCTTAGAATCCTCTTTGAAAAATCACTAATATAGTCCATTCTTCCTTTCAACATATGCCAAGTACTGTCAAGTACTGTGGATGAAAAGCCCAGGTCATTGGGGTTGTGGGTGTCGCTCAGTGATAGATCACTTCCCTTGCATGCATGAAGCCCTGGGTTCCATCCTTAGCACCATAATTTTTTTTTTTTTAATCTGGCTACACTGGCACATGTTTGTAATTGGTTTGATCATTTCCTTTGTGTGTCTGGATATTTGTAGGGCTGAAGCTCTATAATTGGGTAGTTGATTGAATTTGTGAGCATGTGAAAGAAAGTCTAGGATTCCTGACTTGGGTGACTAGGGAAATAGAGGTGTCATTGATGACCACAGAAAATACTAAAGTAGGAGCAAGTTTAGCATGGGAAATGATGTGTTCCATTAAGGGTATACTGAGTTTAAGATAACTCTAGTATATCCAAATGAAGCTGCCTAGGAGTCTAATCTGTAAGTTAACTGGAACCTTGGATATAAATGTGGTGGTGGGGGGTGGTATGAAGAAAACACAAAGAATTGTAGAAAGAACAAAGTCTTGAGAAATACTGACATTTTTATAGGCAAGGAAAGTGAAAAACAGAACTGAGGGACTAGAACAGTAAAAGAAAAACTGGATAAAGTAGTGCCCCAAACAAAAGGGATGAGGAAATTTGAAAAAAGGAATCATCAACACTAACAGACAAATTTACCAGACACTTATTTTGTGTAACAGACCACATTAAGCTATGGGGGTGAACAAGACAAAACCCTTTTCTTTGGTGCTTATTATATAGTGGGGAAGATATGGTTGTACATCACCAAAATGATGAATATATTTAGCACGTGTTAAAAATTTGTACATTATTTGTTTCTAGGAAAGTACTTACTTCTAAGAAACTTTTTGTGGTTTATGAAAAACTCGGGATACAGGTTAAAAAAAGAATTCAAAATAATTAAAATAGGAAAATTAGGGGGAAAAGAAAACAGAAGAAAAATAATGCATAAACATACATGCTCTAAGGTCCTAAACACTTGATTTAGGATTTCTAGCAGGTGTTACAAGGAAAAACAAGATCAGTTATAACAGTCTCAATATCCATATAGATAATAAAACAATTTGCCCATTACTATTCCCAATAGTAAAAAGAAGATACATTCCTCCCATAGTATCTCCTAAAGACAAGCTCATGTGAACAGTATTCTCAACAGCATCTTTCTAGTAAATCCAACAATTAATTTGTTGGGATCCTTTAATACATCTTTCACTCTAGGCTGAAAGCAACTCAGCTTGGAAAAGATGATAAGCATAGCCTAGGAAAGAAACTTCATCTTAGTAAAAGAAAATATTTAAGAAACATTTAAAGGAATAAATTAATTATAAATTATTCAGATGATCCTCCATTCATTTAGCTGATGTGATCCATAAAACATGAGTCTTCTGGGTCTCAACTGATTCCTGGAGAACCAAATCAGTTTTGCTTTCAAAACGTAAAAGATTTAGAACTAATCCCTGCCTCCCAACAATTCATTTACAGGTAAAGAATCTTTTTCAAAAGTCCCTCAAAAGGAGAACTAGGGGCTGTGGGTATAGCTCAGTGACAGAACATGTGCTTAGCATGCATGAGGCCCTGGGTTCAATCCTCAGCACTGAAAAGAAAAAACCACCACAAAATCTATTAATTGAAAAGTCAAACAATAACTTTACAATGGATCAATTAGGCCCTCACCACCCAAACCACTGATCAATCTTCTTATCATTACCAGTGAAACAAACATATTGTGTA